ATTTTAAATTGTCGAACTGAAGATTTCTTAAAATTCTTTCATCTGACACCTATTTTTAATATTTCATATAACTTGCGTATAAAATAATTTCATTCGACTTCTCAAATAGGTGGTAACCCTCTTTAAAATTTTTTCAAACTACTACCTTCGTAAGCCTCTTTTTTTTACACCCATATGGCAATACCTTATTCACTTACCGAATGCTTTAAATTGAAATTGAATATTTTTTAAACATAAGGCAACTCCCCTACACGTAGTTAAAATATAAAGCCTTTTATCGCCATTTCGGTCGATACCCTTATCTATCGATATGTAACAATCGATTTAACTTTTTAAATAATTTCAGCTTCATTTCTTAACAGGTGGCAACACGGCTGATTGTTGTACCCCTCATAGTACATTTTGAGCTCTATTAAAGCTGTCATGTATAGAAGCGGAAACTCAGTGTTGGTTTTTTTTTTCATGAGAATGAGTGTAAATAGCAAAAGTGATCGTCCAGCAACGCGAAGATATCGGAACACCGCAAAGCTGGTTTCGCAAGAGGCGAACGGCATTTTCCCCACCTGGCTCTTATACTTGGTCAAGAGGCATCCAAACCATTCTGCATGTTGTGGAGCTGGTTTGTAACCCAATTACGGCTTTCATGGGTTGAGATTTCATAAAGGTGATAACTGGAATTATTTCGTAGAGAATAATAGATATACACTGGCTGTAAAGACAGTGGTAACTTTGAAGCATAAGTTATCAATACCATCGCCAAAAGCCATCATTGAACAATTTCGGCATAGGACGCAGCTTTCTGTCAGCTATTTCAGCCTGACATGCATAAAATTGGATATAAATTCCAGACAGTTGGTATAAATACTCATACAGCAAAAGAAAGGCGATGGCGTGGCCATTCGCGCCAACTACCGCGGGATCAGCCTTCTAAGCATAGGTTACAAGGTCCATAGACCAGGTATTCACAATGCGCCAAATCTTGGAAAAGGCCCGCGAGAAAAGGTTCGACACTCACCACATATTTTTCGACCTCAAAGCCGCTTTCGATATTACTAAAATGGGTTGCCTATATACGGTGATGTCTGAATTCGGCATCCCCGCGAAACTAATGCAGAGTTGGGGAAGACCTCTCCGAGCCGTTTGACACCAAACGAGGTTTCAGACAGGACACCTCCCTCTCACGCAACTTCTTTTATTTGATGTTGGAGAAGATAATACTAGCTGCAAAACTGAATTTGGTAATTTATAATTTAATGCAATTTTATCCTCGATAAGAATGTTCTAATCAAAATCGTTTGTATATTGAATTCCACAAATCTAAGGCCATTCTCCGATTCCCCCGAGAAATTCAAATTCCACCGAAATCGTTGAATTTTTCCCGGTTGGCATCACTGCTTTGGACTGAGCAGGCAATTCAGGAGTAAAGTCCTCTCTCGACGTACGAAAACCACGCTCTATAAGTCTATACTAAGTGGATAAGGACATGGGCATCGCTTTTTATGTTTTGAAAACAAACTACAAATGTCGAAATTGATTAATTAAAAAAATTATTAGTTATTATTTTGTTTTTGATCACCAAAATTTAATTGCAACTCCATTGCCTCAGTTTTTATAGCTCTTAGTTTCCACGCGAACATTAAGTCGACTGTCAACTGACGGTAATTCAATTAATTGCTTTCTTTTAAAGATTAATTACATTCGAGTAAATAAAGTAGCAAATAACAGAAGTAAGTAATGAGAAACTGAAAGAATGAGTTAATACGAAGCGACAACAAATGGCCAATGACCAGTCGCAGCCAGTTAAAGCAGCTTTACGGATATACATTTCAGCAGTCCGCTCAACTCTTTCAAAAGTGCAGCAAATCCTTATTGACAACTTAATATCTCAATAGTACAGCTATAGATGAATAGGTAAATGGCTAGGGAAGATTAGAGTGATGTGCGGAGCCGAGGTAAAAAGTTTTCGTTGGCATGGCTGAGCTGCAATGGAATGGGCCGCCAGCTAAGTAAGTAAATAAGTAAATGAAGTGCTTGCGAACTGAGTGAATGATGTCGCCGCCTTAATAAATTACTTGATCACGTGCCGAATGGCGGCTTTGCCAATTCAAATAGTAACAACAAAATGTGGGTAGTCAAAAAGACATATATTCATTATTGTTTTTGCAGTTCCAGGTTAGTCCTGTCGCAATTCGCCACTCTCCATACACTCCATTTGTTGTCGAGTAAATATTTTGACAATTAGCGGTCAATCGTGTTTGTGAGTTCATCAATAACAACAACAACAATTAATTTCTAAATAGACTATAACAAAAACAAATACATTCCGAGCGGCCACATCTTCTGCGGGTGCACGCTTGTCCTTTTTCGTAATTGTCGCCGCACATCCTGTAGCGTTGCTGCTGCACGGTCGTTCGCTCTTTTGCAAATCTACGGCACGTGGCGCTTGTGTGCCGCTTAATTTTCAAAGTCAATAAAAATTACAACCAAAATTTTTCGTTACCAGTAGAAGTTTTCCTTCGACATATGCCGGCTTCCCGTTCTTCACTTCCCCTCCCTTTTTTGATCTTAACCGCTTAATGTTTCCTTAATTTACTTCGAACTTTCGTTTACTTAAAAGCGGAGCTCATTAGAAAAATGTTTTCTATTCGGAATGATCCTTTGGAATTTGCACCCACGCATGGAAACGCTTGCAACCTCCGCTACCTGCGCTGAAAATGCGACAAAGTAGTTTTTTTTTTATTTGAACTACAAGCATACATTCTCTTTGGAGTTTCCATTTTGATCGGTAGCTAGCCCGACAATAGCATAAATATTTACAATTTTGATACGATTTTAATGTGTTCGCCACGCGGCCGTGCGTCCTGTTTTTATCGCTTCCTTTCTCGTTCGGACCGTCTCACTCACTGTCAGTTGTTTGCTTGTTTGTTTCGAGGCGTGTGTCGCTTGGTCGCTAAGTGTAAGTGTTCCTTGCATATGAGTCTGTGTGTGTGTGTGTGTGTGCTCAAAAATGTCCTTTATAATTCACTGTTTGCCCTCTGCCGTTTACCTTATCCTTGCACTCGCCTGTTGTTTGCCGTTTTGTTTGTTTGTTTACTTTGTGTTTTGGTCATTTATTCCCCGTAATTCTCCACTCCGGCAAAGAGTTAATGGTCCAGAACGTGTATGTGAATGACCTTTGCAACCAGCTGGTCAGAGGTCAAAGTATTAATTCACTCGTGGATTAATCTGCAAGTTTTTGTTATCAGATATATTTCAGTAGTTTGAGCTAATTTGTTTCGGAATTATTTTATGTTGAATACTCGTGGCTTGGTTCTTAAGAACTTTTCTTTGTATAAGGAACTCACAAAATGTATTCATTTAATAAATAAAAGCAGCTCAAGAAAGTTTACGTTAATCTACCTGGCTATTGATCTCTTTATCGAAAATCCAGTTGCTACCAACGCAATCAGATTGTTGGATTTTGAGTACTAAAAAGAAAGACCATTCCAGCCCAATACCATCCTAGACTTTCATCTGGTATAAGAGCACTGCCCATCCACTATATATTATACCAAAAAATGCAAAAATGTATTTTTCACCTCTGTACTTCCACATGTATCATACTTGCTCTTTCCTTTAGGTAGGTGTTATATTCTTTTGGGGAGCATCTCTTTAACCTTCAAATGACAACAGGGATGTTCGCTAGGGATGAAGCGATACTATGCAGGTATCGATATCTTTACTTGGAAGTAGTATTGTAAGAAAGTATCGGTACTCGTATCAGTACTTTTGGCTATGAAGGTATTTTGTATGAACTGGATTAAATTTTATGTTTTTAATAAATTATTCATCCTCGGCAAATCCTAAACTCCGAATAATAAAAGTTAATAGTGAAGAAAATGAAAATAAATAAAACACATAACCCTAGAACCGTGAGTTGGGCACTCGTGAATGTCGGGGGTTTGGGAAGTCCAATTTAATTTTTTTTCATAGTCATATATGTATATTGTACATTGGTTACAAAATTGCTGTAAAAAAGCAACGGATTTTATATGGTGACTTTTTAGAAAGTTTAAATTTCCATACGAAATTTCTGGGCTGGACTACTTTGAATGTTTTAGTTTTTTCTAAGGTAACTATTTTTTTTTTCATGCACGCTTTTCACCCTACTCCGTTGTCCTTTGCTTCTTTTTATACCTTTCATGAGCATGAAATGGTATTATAACTTTGATCCGATGTTTGTAAGTACCAGAATTAGAATAGATAGACCCATTAAAATGTATACCTAAATGTCCCTCTGTCCGTCTGTCTGTCTGTCCGTCTGTCTGTCTGTCTGTTTGTATGCAATCTAGTCTCTCAGTTTTCGAGATATCCGGATGAAATTTGGTAGGTTGGTGTATTTTTATAATGTATTAATCATTTGTCGGAACCGTAAGAATCGAACCACTATAACATATAGCTCTCATACAACTGATTGTTCAGATATGAGATTCTTTTTTATAACTTTTCCATATTTTTATATTTTTGGAAAATAATGTGTATGCACTATTTAACTCTGGAGAATTAGTTTAGTGAAGGGATAAAAAAATTCCATTTATCGATACTTTAAAATATTACTTTTGGCCAGCAAATAGTAGCTGCCAGACCCATAGTTCGTTGTTGAAAAATAGACGAGAAACAATTTGGGTATTCAGGTTTGTATCCCAACATGTTTTGTATAGAAAAAATGCGTTACACCAAAAAATGGTTTGCAATCAATAGTATTTTATAGTCACTTCAAGCTCGCACTAAAAACTTTTAAAATTATACGCAAAATGAGAGTTTAAAATTCCGACATACATAGTTAGGTTAGATAAAATGTCGGGTCCCTAATTTTATTTTCGCTACCGTATGTAAATTGAGAATTCAAATTTTTTTATTTCATTCACAATGCAGACACTATCGCCTTTTAAGAGAAAACACGGCCTAAATTAAATTATTTTCTTAGCTTCAAAGTGGGGGTACTAGTTCATGTCACTTACCTTGAAAGTAACTTTTTGTTCTTAAATAACTAACAGACAGCCTTAAAATGCTCAGTCGATCCAATTTGCTGAGAATATTCTGTTCGAATGGCAGCAACGAGGCCAACAAATCCAATTCGGCGTTGAGGCGTTCGCGATGACGTTTCGATGGATTACTTTTGGTGACGCCATCCTTGGGCGGCGGCTTTAAACTGGAAAAGAAGAAGAAACAGAAAATATTTAAATATAGAATTTTGTAGGAAGTTAAGTGGAAAAATGAGAAGGCCAACAAAACTACGTAAAATTTTTACAAAAAAAAAAAACGAATTAAGGACACGTGGATTGGAAAAATTGATTATAAGTTACGAACGCTTCATAGACAATCAATATAAGTACATACATATAAAAGAATGCAGTTTATTTCAGAACTTTTCAATCCACATAATAATTTAAGAGGGTGTTCCCAGTATATATGTAAATACATACATAATTATGTATTTATGTTTTTGTAAGTATTATTGAAAAATTCAAACTTTCAGTTGCGCATGAAGCGCCCACAAATACAACTTGCCTACGGAAGTAAGAATACATGATGATGATAATAACACGGAAACCCCCACATGTGTTTGATTCCATTTTCTCTGCGTCATTGCCCTCGATTACCCGCTGAAACAATAACAAAAAAAAAGTTGAAACAAAAGAAAATTGAACAGCAGCAGATGACGCGTGCAATATGGTCAAAGAAGATCAACGAACGAAAGGACGACGCACCCCAATGGGAGTGAGTGCCGGGCAGAGTAGCGTACATAATTAATAATTACATTTATTACCGTCATCGATTACCGGCAAGAAAGAAAAGGTCATTCAGCAAAGTTACCGCATGGTATTTGGAATTTCTGCCGCAATAAGTTTGGTTGGCTGATTGGTTCATTACTTACCAGCACCGAAAAGGATAAGAGGATTTTAATTTCTGTAAATCGCACAATTTTGCTGAGCAACCCCCGAAAATAGCTTAGAAGATGAGCTAACAAACAACGCTGCCAACAACACAAATAACAACAACTGAACTGACAGCGCAGCAGCAAAGTGGCGTACATAGCACAGCAGAGTAGACCACATCACAGCCCAGGGGTTAAAATCGATTAGCCATGCCCACTTGATCCCATAATTATACAAATGCCATTAGGGGGGTGGTGTGCCGCATGAGAAAGCGAAAAAAAAAACAAAGCAGCTTGAAAAGTGGAAATAAACAAGAAGAAAGTAAGTGCTCGATTAGATAGTGCAGTTAGCTAGATGAACACTAAGAAATAAATGAGGATAAAACCCACGGTCCGTTGGCAGGAGGAAATACATGCTATGTAGCTACATGCCTGCATTGGCTTGGTTGTGGCATTAAGTTTTCGAAAAAAAAAATACCACGGTGAAGCCAGTGTAAAAAACATAGCGAGAACAATTCAAAGAAAAATTTTGGAAAAACCATATCCAAGCGACTGGCGACAGTTCAGCACAATTACTGAATTAATGGTGAAAGAGCTAAAAGTCCTAAACACAGCTTGGCTGACAATGAAAATGAAAGTATGCTGACCAATTATTTTCGTTCCTCAGCTTAGAAGCCAGTACAGCAGCCTAATAAATGAGTAGCTGAAGGTGGGATTTCACGAGAAAACTTCCAATCTCGCTATACCATTGAGATTGATGCCGTACTTGAAAAGTTCAGTTCTAGCAGACGTAGTGCAGAAATATTCCCTACTACCTATTGGGAGTAGCGTAGGTATTGAATTTTGTATTCGGCACCAACATTGGAGTTAACTCAGGGACTATTTCTAGTTTACTGACACAAAATATTTCGATAAATATCCATAATTATATGGGTTAAAATATCAAAAAATATATCGATAAAAATATCGATAAATATACCAATAAATATATCATAAAATTATCGATGAATATATAGACAAAATTACCAAAATATCGATAAATATATCAATAAATATGTATATTGAAGATCGATAAATACAACGAAAATTCCGAAAAAGGTCCGAAAATTTGGAAAGAGTCTCGAGAATCCCAAAATAGTCTTGAAAATCCTGATTTAGTCCTGAGAATCTCTACAATCCCGAAATAGTTCCTAAATTGAGGTGTGGTGAGTTTAGATAAGGTGTGGTGAGAACGGATGTGATGAGTTAGGTTGTAGTGAGTTAAGCTTTGGTGAATTTAGATGTGGTAGGAAGAAGTATGGTGAGTTTGTGTGCGGTGAGTTGATTTGAGGTGACGTGAAGTGAGTCGCGGTAAGGTAAATTGAGGTGAGTGTAAGGTAAGGTGTTAGCTTTTTAAATTTCACCTAATTCATAAAGTATTGAGTTTGAAAGTATTTAGCCATCCAATAAATACCTTGGTACTTTAGTGAACGTAACTTGGATCTCCTACTAGAGTATTTGACGCTTGCTCAATAATTTACTTTTTTTTTGGATTTTAGAATCTAGCAGCTTCTAAATACCTTAGCTTATTTTACTTGAATATTTAAGCATCTCAAAATGCTAAGTATTTAAATATTTAGTACCCAAACGAAAGCAACATTTTTTTTTTATTTGTGGTGCCTTTTTTAAAGGCTGTGTACGATATGTCTCCGAGTGGGAATAAGAAAATCTTCATGATCTCCCTCTCTCAACTTAATCTAACGAAAGTTGAACTCCTGTTGGTATCAGATGCTATGAGTGTAACTCTCGGTGTGCACTTCAGGATGCCACATAAGCCTGAAAAAAAAGCAACACGACTTCCAATGATTGGCTCTACTCGCGTCACAGAATCAATAAGAACGGTTCTGGAGTCGCTTCTAGAATGTACTCCCCTGAACAGAGTTTCAGCTGCGAATACTATCACACAGGTGTCTTGGAAAATATCTCAATTTTGGAGACATTAAGGCTTCCGGCACTAGTTTTTCTGGGAACCCGGAACGTGGTTTCTAAAGGAACGACGTGACCGCTGAAGTGGCGGAAGAAGGCCCATTATCTGTTATTGTGCACTAAGGTAGTCCTCTTCGAGACTTACGACTGCATGTACTTGCGGAAGTTTTACCGCTATGAATTTTATTTGGAAATGCACCAAGCAATTTTTCTTATTAAATTTAAAAAAAAAATCCCCATCATTTATACAAAACCTAGCCATAAAAATAATTATTTCGAAAACGGTTCTTAAATTCCAATTACACACAAACTTATGAAATTTAGATAGAGAAATCCGTAATGAAGTATACGTGACGGAATGTATTGGTTGATTGTGGGTTTCAAGAGCACTTCGGGCAGCACAACAGACACCGAAATATATTTCAAGAAAGTAGCAAATGAAAACAATTTATTTAATTAAATGAAAAAACGTGAGCGAACGAAAATAATACCATTGAATTGAATTGAAACAAAAATACCAAATCTGTAGTGGAACATTTCACGAAGGAATTAAAGGCTGAAAACATTAAATTGATACTTAGCAGCAACTAAAGTGAGGTAAAAGACAATAATTGGCAAATGAATGGGCGAAAGGAGAGAGATTAGATAATTTTTGAGCGAAGAAACATATAAAAGTAATAAGCGAAAATTATAGCGAAGTAAAAGTGAAGTTAAAGGTAATTGCAGGGCAACCAACAGCTGATTAGGCTGTAGAGAAACCGTTAGCTAATTGAGAGTATGCTATGTTTGGAAAAGGCGCTGAGTTAAAGTGGAATGAAACAAGATTTGAGATTTCAAATTTAATGCTCGGTTTCACCAATCAGTTTAAAAATTTTTCAGACTGTTAAAATAAATTTTTAAATTGATTGATGCAATCGGGCATAAATGTGTACATGAAAAAAAATATCTAATTTTAAAAATTTCACAGCCAAAATATTTTTAGCGCACTTTCCAATCATTAGTGCTGTCGATTGCTTTTCATCTAATTTACTCGTATCTATGATTCATTTAATTTTTAATAGCAAATGGCTTCTATGCTGAACTTTTGTTCTTTTATTTTTAATTATTTTTTTTTTATTTCATTCACTTCATTCCGACATATTTTCAACACCATACAGCGCCTGCCACTCCTAACATCACAGTTTGTTGTTAATAATTCTTACAATATTTTCGACCAAAAAAACACTCCTCCGCTACGTCACTGCACTAAACTCACCCACTCGCTCTCACAACACTGTTACCCACCATAACTTCCCCTTTCGCTCTACCTACTGCTCGTTCGCACGGCGCTGTGCACCGTTACTGCAGTCTGCGGCATAAATAATTTACTACTAAATTAAGGTTTGTTTCACAAAAATACAAAAACAAAAACGAAAGCAAAAACAAAAACAAAAAAAACAAAAATTGGGGGCATTGCGGCTCATTTTTATTTCGGGGGTTGTATAAAATGTATAATTTTCTTATTATCTATAAAACCTCGACGCGAACAACAAAAACGAAAATCTACAACAACAAGCCAAAGGAACCATAAAAACCTCAAAACTACTATGTATGTACGTATATATGTATGTGTGTTGGTAACTTAAATGTGGAATTGTTTCCAACAGCCAAACAAAGGAATCGCACAAGAAAGTATTTAGGAATTGAAGGACAGAACAACAAAAAACTTGCGAATCGTTTTGTAAATGCATTCATACATATAAATCTACATACATACATACATTATACGAATGTTTGACTGAATCTATGTATATGAATAAATAAGTAAGTACATATGTATGTATGTATGTTTTCAGTGGCGGAACCACCGATTTTTTGGAGGCAGAGATTTTAGTTGAATATTTTTAAGATATTAGTTTATCTATTTATGGATGCCGATCCCCCTAACTCTGGCGTTTCAGCAAGCAAAACGTTTTCCCTATCGAGGCCACAAGACATCGCAGGAGACGCTCGAGTATCTAGAACTCAAGAGACTTGAGCTCGACGGCGGAAGCAAGAGTAACATAAGGCTCTCTGACTTGCACCAGCAAAAATGGGACACCCGGCATCGGCTGCAATTGTATAATCCGGAAACTCTATGAGTTATCTTCGATTGCTTTTCCTCCTTCTCCGCCAACACAACCGCAATTCCAACAAAGCTCATAGTCGCAACATGGTCCTCAAATCGTTTACGGGCAGCACTTGGGGCAAAGGCAAAAACGTTGTTTGCAAAATACAAGGCAATCATACGGCTGGCTGCGCCTACTTGGTTACAGGAGATCTCATAAATG